AGAAGAAGAAGAAGACGAAAGGCAAATGTGAGGTGAAGAGCCGAGAAAGACGGGGTAAAGTAAAGGAGGGAGAAGAGGAGAAAGAAGAGGAGAGGAGGAGAAAGTCGAGGCGAGACTAGACTAGGAGGAGGAAGAGGGAGGGAGGAGAAGATCAGGTTAGGACAAGCCGCTAGACTACTTGAGAAGCATGAGAAGAAAGACAGCCCGGGACTAGGCAATTAATTAGGGACCACTCCGTATTTTCTACCTTAATCTCTTTCTTATCCTCCCCCTCCTCGTGAAGGAGAGAGGGAGACACAGCCTAGAACCAGTTGCTGGGTGGGCTGCGCCAATCAATCTGTGTCTCTCGGCAATGATGAATTAGATATGAATGTATCCACTGATGATAGAATAGACTCTGCCACCAAAAATTTGGGGAAAAAAAAAGGCTTCACTACCAATAAACTACCTAGCCCTCCCCCCGGACGGGTCCTAATCTCAACCCAACAAACCAAGAGTCCTTTCAACTCATCTGGGCTGTCTGCCATGCCGACAGTCGATCAGTCCGATTTGACATTTCCGACCACCCACCAGTCAGGCTGGAATGTCCCCAACGGTCTGGTCGGCCCGCGATGGGGAAAGGGACAAAGCACAAGCTGACAAGCTCGCATAGCACGTATCGCCACATTGTGATAGATCGTTAGGCCCCAAGAGGAAAGGGAAGAGTGGGAATCTCAAGGCCGTGACAGCGAAGAGATCTAAGTTCCATTTCGGTATAGTTCGATCTCAGCATAGAGTTTCTGCTAGTCTCCAAACCAACTGCATGCTTACTTGATCACCTCCCGGGTTGAAGTACTGTATGTACACATACACTGACCGTGGTACGAGGTGCTTACCCTCAGACACAGCGAATGGCATTACAGATGTGTAGCTGGATGGGAAAAAAAGCACACAAGATGGAATATGTGTTGCGCGTAACCCAGCGAATGGCCTTTCAGTCTGGTTGAATTTACATGCCGGTCGACTACACCGGCATACGTCGGTCCCAGCCTTCCGTCTCCGACACATTCGATATACGACCGTCTCAGTCCCATCTCTTGCTTCGTCCGCCGCGAGATTCGAAAGTTAAGCTAGGTGCACGTGGCACTGTTCAGTGGGAGTTTCCATAATAAGAACAATAGCAGGATTAAGTGACAAGACTCATATCCAGTAGTTTCCCACCCGAGACAACCTCCGACGCCAGAACCGTGCAGAATCCTATCCACAGGTGACATTTGTATATGCATTGAAGCAAAGTTCCCAAGCCCGGTGCTCAGCAAGCAACCGAGAAAAGAGCCGACCCCAAAGCCAGAGCTGGAGTACACGAAGTGTAGATTACAACAAATAAACAAAAAAGCAATCAAGCAAAAGCTAGAGGGGAATAAAAAAATTGGTTCAAAGCTTCTCTCCATGCAGCAAGAGTGGTATTATGGTCTTTCCGTGAGATATAATGGAAAAAGGGTCATGTACATAAAATGCGAGGGTGCTTAGTTATTCAGTGCCTGATCAAGCCTGGCCAGTAAGCCCTGTGCCTCCTTGACCAAAGCGCGACGAGCAGCACGATCCTCGTCATTCGTGATCTCAATTCCGTCTGCCTTCAGAATGACCTGGGCGAGGATGGTTTCACTGAGCTTCTTATGCTCGAAATCGCGTGCTTTCGGATCCGTCGGGGGATTGGCAAAGTACTCTTCACAGAGAGGGAGCAATTCCCGATGGAGATACGACAAGAGGCCGTTGGCTTGATCCAGGGGAGTGCGGAAGGAGTTGAGGCTAGGTGCGGGTGACGGCATGGCTGAACGGCCGGGTGAGGGGGATGGTCGCGCCGCTGGTGCCGGGGGTGGTAGAGTGGCCGGGTCGACTGCTGCGCCACCAGGGCCCGTCTTCTTGCCCTTCTTCCCGCGCTTTTTGTTCTTGCCCGATCGCTTGCGAGAGGGTTCGTCCTGGCGCGGAGGAAGTTCAACCTCCGCCTCGGACGCCTCACTTGGCGAGCTCTCCCCGGGCTGCACCTCCGAGACCACGCACAAGACCTCTGACTGCTGCTTGAGTCCCTCCGCCCGGCAGGGCAATGAATCGTCGTCCAACAGTTTTCCTTTGTACAGTAATCGGATCCGCTTCGGGTCAAGCGTGTGCGTCACCTCTGCAGCCCGTTGTCTCAGCTGACCCACACTGAGGGCGCCCTCATTGATGGAGTAAGCAGGGAAGTGCAGGTCGTAGGTGTTCTTGCGGTGTTTCAGAAGGATGGTGTCGGGCTCAGCATCATCGGCACCGGGGTACTGGTGTCCATACTGTGGCTGTCTGAGCGGGTTGACGATCTCATCCGTCGTGATGTAGCTGAAATCGTTGTCGGTTACATGGGGAGGATTTTGAACGTTAGAGTAGTTGGGAGAACGGCGCCAGAAGGTGAAGGGACTGCGCCAGGAAGACATGATGATGATTGCGATCGCACACGCGAGAAGAGTGTAGGTAATCGGGGCGGTATAATCGCTGGCTGCGTGATCCGGGTTCAGCTCCGGCCAAGGCGTGAGAAAACGCAAGGGAGACGAGGCTTGAGCTGACGAAAGAGTGGTGGTGAGTTGATGGTGTAAAGTCTGGAGCGAAGGAGACAGGTTGGTGGCGATGTGGTCGATGTAGGAAGCACACGTCTCGCCCAGGGAGGACAGAGATATGTGCGATAGCAACTGGCTCATGGATTGTCGGCCAAGAATGGGTCAATGGGAGGGGGAATGACGAGGGTGTTGAGGTCACTGGAAGTTTGCCCTGGGCCTCTCTTTAGCTCCGGAATAGGCAGAGAAGGCGGAGAGAGCCTCTTTTTTTTGCCGCAGCCGCCTGGAGGCTGAAAGGCTGAAAGATCGCCTTGTCTGTTTGTCACGAATGTTCGAATGATTTCGAATTGATGTGATGTCTTATAATTTTTGTTCTTTCTCCTATCTTTACTGTACAGTATAAGCATATTGTATGCCACCAAAGCCCCTCCCATCAAAATTGAGGGGTAGGCTCACCACAAGGCTGGCTTGATTACTATCTGTCTCTCAAAAGAATGACCAATTGCTTTGCAATCATTCCCCCAGGTTAATGCTAATGGCTGAGGCAGACCGAGTATCGCATTCATCTTGCAGTATAAAGCAGATCATCATTCCCACGTGACATGCAACTGTCATGCCTATACATTCATATCTTTGACAGATCTCATCGGCTGATCATTAACATGCATTAGCCATTTCAAAACACCTGCCAAGCACACATAGAGGTATTGATACCGCAACTGAGGGGTTTGAGCCGGTGCATCGACCGCAGTAGTGGGGTAAGTAGTTATCTTGAGCTACTCAGTGAATCACTATGCTAGGCGACGTCATCAACCTGGGACAGCGGCTTGTAGAAGGGCCAACCAACCGCAGCTCACTCTGTCCTGTTATATAGCCAGCCCTGTATAGTACTACTGTACTGTCCATATGGCGTTATGCAGGGAGAAGCATTTATCCGACCCAGCCATGTTAAATGCAATCATCTAGGATATCCCTCAGGTAATTCTTGGCGAGACGAGCGTTCTGTCAATGTTACAGTCGGACGAGCACAGATGGCATGGAATGGAAGAGCAAAGCAACATTACACAGCCTATCCGAGAAGTAGATAGCCTGCCTCAAGGGCCACAATAGTTTTGTCACCTCCGGTGCTCTCCGGTGCTCTCCGGTGCTCTCCGGTGTTTTTGCAAGGCTGACCGACCTATCCATACATGGAATTCCAGGTACCCGCGGGTCGTGCTAGGCAGAAGCTGGAATTGGGGCTAGTTGCTGTTTTCTCTGCCTTGACTGACATCATTGTATCCACTAGTTTCTGGGAGATTTACTACTCTGCAATAAGTTATTGTTCTCACAATAGAAAAATTATATTATATACAGTTATAATCTTACATAATTACATTACAATTGCTCACTGGCGGAAGAATGTACTCAAGATGTCTTCAAAGTCTGACCCCACCAGGTGCAGGCCGGCCACCAAACCATCTCGCGAGACCACTGCTGCCATCGTTACCTTCATTCCCCATCCACCGTGGAAGGCGGAAGGAGTCACCCTGCAACCACTGTGGCTTGCTGGCTGTTTCGAGAGTGTTCTTCATGCGGTGCGCGAATGACTGGAAAAAGTTCTCTTCCTCTTCTTCCTCGACCAAGGCAGAGGTCCCGAGAGTGCTGCGAGGTGCTCGAGGTGCCCGAGAACCCTCAACTAGGGGTGTTCGCGAGGAAATGAATGCAGGAACCTCCTCGTCAACCCGACTAGAAGGGCGGGGTGACCGACTACCACGGGCTGAAAGCCCCAATGAGCCGAGGCCGTTAAGTTCTCGCTCAATGAGGTCACGCCCTTCACGCCAACCTCCCAGTCCGTAGCCACCGGGGTTGTTTTCCAGGTCATCATCATCTTCCTCCAAAAGTCCCCAGCTGCAAATGTTTTGCACTCGACCATATAGATTAAAGAGAGTGGCACAGATAGGCAGCAAAATGAAGACCGGGAAAAAGTAGTCAAACCCTTTACCAAGCGGTGTGAGGTCGATTAACCGCCCCAGGAATTTGTAAAAGACGGTGCTCTGTCGCGCACTGACCGGCAAAAAGGTTAGAAAGTTGTAGGCGATGGGTACAGTCAGCCGGGCTACAAGCCCAGCGTACCAACATGCGCTCTCCCCATACGTGTTCCGACGGACCAAGGCACGATTGCCCCACACTTTGGCGTCGTTCACGCCCACCAAGGCTGCGGAGCACATGTACAGCAACCAAGCAGAAGCAATAACTTGACGACCAAAGTTCACTGGCGCAGCATCCTGATGATAGGATACAATGGAAAGGGTCACTACCGACAGCCGAGGCGCCATAGATTTAATCACTTCGGACCAGACAATGCAAGCGGATGCGGCAGTGAAGAGAGCACCTAGTCCAAGTCGAAGTTTCGGGATCACGCGCACATAGAGCTGGTAACGCATGTATGGGCTCAGAACCTTAGCATTCGACAACCATGAGGAGCGGTAAGGTGACGGAGTAAACTCCAATTTCCTGGATGCGGACGAATTGATAATGGCTTGCATATCAGCAGCGGACAGCACCAGACGGTCCCACTCGTCGATGAGACGAGCCTTTTGATGCCGAGCACGCTGAAGACGTCTTGTCAAATCTGCCAAATAGCGTTCGGTGATGACGGCAGGGATTGTTTCAGATCCATCTGCATGGTCCAGTAGCGTTGATCGTGGTTCAGAAGGACTGCAAGTCTCTGCCAGCTCGTCAATCCAATCCTGAAAGTCGAGGGCGGTCCCTGTTTTCCGGCGCTGCAGTTGGGAGACCTGACTCTCGAGAGTTTCCAAATCATTGATCGCATCCATCAAGCGGTCGTGCAACCGAGGGGCATGGGCGTGAATTCTCCGGAGCCTGCCGCTGACATCGGCGTTGCGGAATAGTGTGCGAGGGATCGAGACGAGACCGTGGCCCATTAGGTAGATCGCCAGTACGAGACCCCAGACGTAAGCAAGAGCCATAACGAGCGCCTTGATTGAAGTAAATTCGAACCCATTCTGGATGGAGATGTAGACCAAACCAACGATCGCACAGCACAGCACGATGAGTTGATAGCGCGCATTCGACCGGATAGAGTACTGAATACGAGCCTTCGGTTCACGATATCCAGAATCTATATATTCTCCGAGTAGCGGGAGGATAGCCCTGTAAGGAGGGAAAAGTCCGATCAGCATCTCCATTATATTAGTTCAGAACAGCCAAAATTGGCTGACAAATGAGACGACTTATACGTACCATGTCAATACAAATATCAGCCAATAGGTAATGCGCCACGAGACTAGAAGTAGGCGGTCAGGTAGCCAGATGGCTGCGGGACCTGATCCATCACGCGAACTTGATGCCAGGTCGATAGGAACCAACAGAACTACACTGGCAGGAAGCGCGAGCGCAAGAAAGACGGGGATGGAAAGATAAGCCGGGGTTGCGCGCAAAGTAAGAAAGCGCCGGAGAAGGAGTAAAACAAGGATAGAGATTGTGAGAAGGGCCAGCGAGAAGAAAATACTAGACCCTACGGGCACAGGCGTGGCGAGAACCATGGCGATGATTGGGGGGAGGAGGGGGGAGGGGATGTCAGTACATCCGGCGGAGGATAAAAGGGCAAGTAGAGCAGGGTCTCGGGGAGGAGAGGACGATCAATCAATAAAGCATTGCAGGTGAGCTTAAAAGAGACTAGCGATCGAGAATCGAGGGGTAGAAACACAACAGTGCGAAGTATATGAGTATGAGTATGAGTATAAACGAGGGGGGAGAGAGGAAGGAGTAAGGGAAGGAGGGAGAGAATTGGGAAGAAATAGAAGAAGCAAAAGTGACCAGGAAGGGAAGAAGTAGAAACTGCCCGTAGTTACTAGGAGTAAGTACGTACGTACAGTAGTTAGTCTAAGTACTCAGTACTCCGTACTATGGATCGCAAATGCGGCCGAGACTTGAAACGAGATCTGCTGAATGGATCAGCTCATTTCCCAAAAGTTCATTGATGGTCGATGATAATTCAAGGGCGGCTTCCAGCCCGGGGGCCGGTGACGACAGCAGCCAGATCACGTGATGGTGCCTGACGTGTCTGTTTCCGTAAAAAGTAACAGCGGAGTCGCCATTGCCGGCACTACTCAGTAGATTCCTTTTCTCAATCTCAAATGATTCCACACTTCTCCACGGCCCTTCAAGTTGGGACTCTGAACCACACCGCATCTGGACCCTCAACCCTACTGAGTATAAATAAACTCATATATTCCCCCTTCCATCGCCGATGCTAGCCTGGCTTTGGAATGTGAGATTAGTCTGGACTGTTGGGACAGAATATAGAGAATAATGATGCGACTTCAGTCATGCACGCCCTCGACCATAACGGTAGTCATGTCTGCTTGGATGGCGCGCTGCCCGCTATACTCTTCGCAAGACTTCCAAGTCCTGTATATCAATCCGAAGATGCACTGGAGGTTTTTACCAAAGAAGAATCATACAAGCTTCGCATAACAATCAACAATGAGACACTATTCTTAATGCCCTAATTAAGGGTTTTGCTGGTTGCATATCCTCGCTGTCTAATTCTTTTTGTCGTTGAAAACGGTATCATATGCATGATTTTGACGGGTGAGTATCACGCCCAAAGCCGGATGTGCCGGTAGGACTCTCCGTAGATTGGCATGAGGCACCCCCAAGCTTTCTCGGGAGCGACCCATCGATAGACATGTTCCAGGGCCATGTTGATCGGACTTCACTCACGTTGACTACTCCGTAGATCGGACTGAGAAGGAATCCTGCAAATAAGAATCATGGCCCCATGGAGCAAGATGGCCAACAGACGAAAGTGTTTTCGCCATGTTCATACTGTGGTTGTATACCAGTATCTTCCAAACATCTTTCATTCTGGGCGATAGGTGTGTGATTTGTAGCACCTTTACTGCCGCCTGCTTTGGTACGTTTCAAATTAGGAATAGTCTGTTCTCTCAAGGCCAGTGACACTAGTGAACTAGTGTACCGATCTCATTCTGAGGGGGCCATGAAGTATGTACGGATTAGTTGTGTAGGCCTCTAGTATGAACCTTTTACAATTCCTGCTGCTGAGCCAGCAACCCAATTTAGTACAGTACGAACCACAATTCCGTGGTCAATGTCCAATCTACCGGACTGTGCCGGGGAAAATCGAGGTGGAGAGAATGAATGTGTGGTCAAGTTATTTGGGTCAAGTTCACGCCTGGCCACTGAACCAATTTAGTTGCCGTGAGCTGCCCTTGCGGACAACTGGAAGACCTTCCCCCCAAAGCTAAAGCACTGCAGATACAGAACTCTTCATTGGTCGATCAGTGGAGACCAGTATGGTTCACGGCCTCCATTTAATCTCAAGCAACTGTACTCGTGTAATGCGTTCCAAGTCTAATTTTACCGAACTGATATCGGCAAGACTGAGTCGATGCCTGCCAGTAGGTGGTAGGGTAGTCTGTACCACCTGGCCGCACCACGGAGGAGTGTTGTGGTAGTACTAATGTGCCGTAACCAGCAAGTCTGACCGTAGGTACATACAGCTGTAGCTACGAGGTCTTCGGATACCGCCATCTTGCATGGAAGACGGACCACAACTTCAGCCAAATGATGGTGGCATTCACTGTGATCGGTGGTGACTAATGTGTGCGTGCCTTGGTGATACCCATCCTTATTACCATCCCAGCCCGCTAACTGATTGCTGCAGCACAGATCTCCAGACTCCTGAACCATAACACTAAATCCAGTCAACAGGGTAGGCGGGAGCGAAATCCACCATTGGTCACGTCAATTAGAGGTATTAGTGATTGGGCTGATGGTGAAACTTGATTCCCAGGCAAGGAAAGTGAAAATACAATTCAAAGAAGCAAAAGACGCAACGAAGCAAAGAAGCAAAGAGGCAAAAGAAAACATACAAAGTACGAGGGAGGTAGTGGAGGAAAGCAGGAAAGACTGACTGATTGACTGGCTGCGAAACCAACATTTCTTGGCCTGGAAGACCTTGCGTCTTTTCCAGAGCCAGTCACCCGTCGAGACCAATTACCAGGGATTTTGCGGTGATGGGGACGGACCAGAAAGCGGAAGAAAAGAGGATGGCCCGCTTTTTTTTATTTTGGGTCTCCATCGGTTGGCTCCCCGTCAGTTCCTAAGGGCGATCCCCTCATATGAGTACATAAGGTTAAGAGAGAGAAAGAGAGAGAAGAACATATGGATAGGTAAGTAATACGGATCGGAGATAATCAGACAATCTTGATCTGAAGTACAAATGCACTGCTAGAGTGGTCATGTTATGTATAAAAATCATCACTTACATCACCTATAACCTGAATCAATGACAACTTACTCAGGCCGAGTAATAAGGACGAAGTTTGGGGGGGGGGGGGGGAGGAAAGTGGCCAACAGGCGCTCAAATAATAATCGAGCGATCCGTCGAGTTGTCAGTTGGCGGCTGGGTTAAGTTCAGGTTTCCCAGGTTTTCCCCAGTCTCCTTCCATATTACCTACGGTACTGTACTTACATCGTAGTGTAGAAGTTTAGTACAGTACCAAGAAGTTGATGATGAGCAGGACCAACGGGCAGATCCCCAAGTGGTCCTGGGCACGGGGACGGGTCTAGAGGAGGGGGGAAAGTTAAGTCTCCCGAGTACTAGGTAAGGTACTGTACCTACCGAGTAGTAGCATTAATCGCCCACCAGAACCAGTCATCGGTCTGCATCTGGCGCCTCAGGCCACTAACACTAACTAACCACTCGAGTACTCATAATTCCTCAATGGTTTTAGGTGGATTACCATCACGGTCATCACAGCCATCATCCACGGCCACCCAACCCACTTTCCACAACTACTATTAACTTACCACCGCCCAACTTGACTTCCGTTAGACTAAAATACTAAGGCGTACCTTTCTTTTACCTTAGTAGTAATAAACTCGAACTACCTTAATACTACGTACAGTACGGAATACCTACTAAACTAAAATGATGACTGACTGACAGGTTGATCGACTGATTGACTGACCTCAAAGAGTCTCCCTCTCTTTTCTACACCACCACCACCTCCTCCACGACCATTACCACCACCTTCTCTCTTTTCTCTTTTCTCTTTCTCTTTTCTCTCTTTCTCCTCTCTCTCTCTCTC